TTGGGGATTTAAATAGGTAGTTAGGGAATGGAGAGATGACTCAGCAGTTAAGAGTACTGGCTGCTGACCTAGGTTTGAATCCCAGCACCAATGGCAACCGTCTGTAACTCCAGCTCCAGAGGATACAACAGCCTCTTCTGACCTCCGTGGGCATTATACAACAAGGGTGCACTTACATGAAGGCAACATACTCATACACATAAAAAATAAAGTACTTAGGTAGGTAGATAAGTTATGCACTAAAGAACATGAATATCTTCAGATTAGACACCAGAAAATAGCCATTTGTGTTTGTGTTAGTGTCAGGTATATGTGTTGAGATGCAGACTATGATTCAAGAGTCTACCTGTGTTATACCTATGTGGCATAGCCACTGAAGAGTTGTGGCACAAGGCTTAGTGCCTAGTCACTTTGGAAAATGGTTTTGTGAGTGCAAATCTAAAGATGAAATGATAAACACAGTGCATCATTGTTAGTAAAGTTTCTCATGGGGAATGGGTTAACAACTCTGAACTTACAGGGGAGAAACAGAGTTAAGAGATGGTGGCTGATAAGCAGGCAGTCACAGGTAAGCAAAGGAGAAGGCTGGAACGAACCATATGGATGGAATTAGAGTTGGAGACTTAAGTGTGTAAACTTGGGTTTAGCCCAATATCCATCCAGAAATAGTTGCAGATAAGGAACTGTTGTAACTGGGTTGATATATACTCATGGGTATGATGAGGGCTTAGCAGCAACGACACTCCAGTAGCAATAAGCATGCCCAGATCTTGGTTCCATGGGTACCATTCTCCAGTAACCAGGACTCCTTGGAGAAATGGATAATTATAGATCCAGAGCATCTTGCATTGCCAGAAAATAAGGAAGTGCTCAAAAAACAAAGGATGTGGGCATGTCAAAGGGAGCTAGGAGCCAACTTCAAGGAGCTCTTAATAGCCAGAGCTAACTTTAGCAACAAAATAGTGTGGTACCGCATAATAATCCAATGTATAATATATGCATTTGTATGATATAAAAATTTATACTAAGACAGGATACATCTTATAGAAAAATTTCAAATAATTTTTATAGATACTTTTTTCTTCAGAAGCTAGAGAGCTTAAGTTCTCATTCCCTCCAGATTGTTGAGGGTAGACTGTGGCTGAATTTTGTGACTTACTTGTAAAGGGTAGCATATGGGAAAGGAAAAGTAAATTTATAGCAGAGAAACAAACAGCTGCCCCTTAGCCTGAGTCAAAGTTAACGTAGTTTGTAGCACATTTTGTGTGTGTGCACATAGTGTTTGGGGGTGCTTGACTGCCATCTCCCCCAGACCACATTCCAGTTCATCTATTAGGAAAAGACCAGACAAAACCCTTTGAAGAACATTTTACAAAATACTTGACAAGTACTTCTCAAGACTGTCAAGGTCATGAAAAAACAAGGAAATATGGAAAAACTGTTTACCAAGGAGATAGGACCAGTAACAACATGGGGTCCTGGATCTGAAGCCACGAGCAGAAAAAGGACATTAGTGGCAAACTAGTGAAACTCAGATGAAGTCTTAATTTTTTTAAAGGGTCTAAAAACCTTTTCCCTAATGTTTTATTGTGAAAACATTCAAATGGGGAAAACCGAAAGGAAGAGACACGGGCTCTACAACTAGGATTGTGCCCTCTTTGCTTATATTACATACTTGCCCATCAGTCCATCTGATTTTAGAAAGTATTTCAAAGTTGCAAACATCAATACATATGTCCCCCAACCCAACTTGTTTAAAGAACAATTTCCTTTTAAAGTGTTTTTGTTAGCGTATATAAATTATATATAATAATGAATTTCATTATGACATTTCCATACATGTACATATTGCAGTTTGATCATATTCAAGCCCCCATTACTCTCTCTTGTTCCCATCTGCCATACTCATCCCCTTCTTTCCAAATAGCTCTGCAAGGTTTTTGTCCAGCAAATATCAGGCACTTCATGGTTGACCTTACATTTGCAATTGTGCCCTATAGAGTGTAGAGGAGGTTGAAGAGTTAGAAAGGATGTAGGTTTTGTTGCTGCATCCTAGGGTGATCACATGTGTGTGTTCTTGTGAGCATGTTTGACTGACATGTAGCTATATGTGTGGGTTCTGGGATGCTGTGGAGTCTGTGAGTGTCCAAGAAATGACAGCTATTCTCCTGGCATGGGGCAGCATGGAGGACACTGAGGGGTTGGGAGTCCAACATGGGACAGTGCTGCGCTGAAGTTGGAATGTATTAGCTCCCATTTATCTGGGGAGAGCTTAAGGCCTACCTTCCCACATCCTTCTTCCCTTTCTGGGGGTTGCCTGAGGAAATAGGATAGCAGGAGAGCAGCTTTAGCTTGGAAGGGGGTAGGAGGATGATCCCCCACATCCATCAGAGAGTGCGATTATGCAGAAAGGAGAGCAGTCACTGAGGAGCTCACAGAGCTGGGACTATGCCCAGAGGATGGCCTTCCAGCTGCTAACAGTGGCTCCATTCAGTTTGGGTGCATAATGATTTTAAAACTAAATCAGGAACCAAAGCCTGAGGCTGGAGACAAACACAAATATCTTGTTGACCGAGCAAACGTCTAGATTTTGTCAGGAAGTTACTGAGGAAGGTCAGAGTGATGTAATGGTGTGTGCTAAGCTTTCATCCTTAAACAGATGGGCCCCTGAGGTACCATCTACAGCTCCCTGGGCCCTTTGAAATTATTTCCTATAAAAATTGTCATAAGTTACTATTGAGAAATTAGTATGGTATCCATACCAGAAGTAAAACAAGACAAAGGAAGTAAATTTCCACTGGAGTTAACTGTTTCTTCTTCCTCCTTTGCCTTATAGATAGATAGCCCTGAGATTTATTGTTTTTCTCAATTTTCTTGTGCAGCATGTGGATATGATTGCCTCCCCCAAACAACCATCCAAAGTAAACTTCCTTTTCTCAGGCTCACAGAACTGCATCTTATCCCAACCTTAGCCAGTGTCAGATGGGTATTTTTATAAACAGTCTTGCACTTTTCAGTTTTTTTGTTTTTGTTGAGGAGGAAGTGGTGTTTTTGTGTCTGGTCTTTTCTTTCATCAAAGGGATGTATTATTTCTGGGAAGGCAAGGGCAGGGGCTGTTTCCCAATCTAGATCAGAGGAAGTAAATGTAAGGCATCATATGTAAGTGGTGGGTTATGAATCTTAACTGAAGCTTTTAATAAAACATCCCAATAAAGCATATCAGAGCAGAAAGCAGGGTCTGGAGTACTCAGTGCTTTATTAATATCCAGCAGTTATTGACACACCGTACCAGGCATGGCTCTGCTCCCCAATAGAGAGACATAAGCAGAGAAATAGTGAAGTGTTCGTGGAGGGGTAGGAAGGTTAGAGGAGAGTGGAGCAGTGAGGGTAGGTTTCCTGGAGAATGTGATTTTTGTGCTGCGCTGCATCTGAAGGAATGTCCAGGTGAGGTGGGATTAGGCAGACAGACGGAGACACCCAGAGTGAGCTGTGAACTAGCCGAAAGGGAGCACGGGCAGGCATGAGTTGTGAATGGCTGGTATGCTTAGGTAAGTGTGGCTGGAGAGGGGAGTGCAGTGGTCAGGACCTGAAAAAGAGGTGCAGGACTGGTTAGTTTGGAATTAGAGTGAGCAGGAAAAACCAAGATGCTGCTGACTGAGTCAGGTAGTGAGGAACAGAGGCAGAGAGTTTTGGGAGGCATATCAACCCTACTGGCTTTAGTTCTCTGAGTGAAGTAGGAGGAAAGGGCTTTTGCTGAAGCAGAGTGGGATAAAATGAAGGAAATGTGGGGCAGTTGTTGAAGGGGATGCGTGGGGCTCTTTTCTGGGCTCCTGAGGACTTTTCTGGGTCTCAGAATTGCAGGGCTCTGGCATTTCTGTTTGGTGACACAACTTGTCTCTATGGTCTTTGGGGCTTGGAGCATAGCTGAGAGACTGAATCTTGGTGCTGATTCCCACCATGTGACCAATGAAGAAGGCTGCAGAATGTAGAGGATGCTGGCCATGGGGCTGAGGCCAATGACTAGTGATAGAGTCCAGGAGGTCAAGGATTGAAGAACAGGGTTCACTCAAGAACCATCAAAGACAAGGAAGGACCTTGGGAGAGGAGCTCTGAGGGCTGGAAGGACAGGAGCTTGTGGCTAGGAAACACAAGCATGGAATGACATTGTTGACAATGAGATGTGCCTGGGAATAAAGCCTAAAGTTAGGAACCCAAGGACCGGGGGTGCATAAGTACACTGTTAATGATGAGTGGCATTTGCCATCTCTTCATATGCTGGGCATTGTTCTAAGTGCTTTCAATTGTCCATTTGTCAACAGCCCCTCTCTGGCTTATCTTCATAGATGAGGTATCAAGGCCTAGAGAGGGGAAGAAATTGTTTCAGGTCACACAATGAGTCAAAAATGGAGTTGGGTTTTTGTCTGATTGAGTCGGCATGGGTCTTGTGCATGCTATCACCATTGTTCCAAGTTCATATGAGCAAGTTCCCAGAGGCCCGAAAGCCTCTGTTTCCTGAGTTCATGCACCAACCCTGGCTCTTACAATCTTTCTGAACCCCCATTTCCTCAACGGTCCCTGAGCCATGGAGTGGGTGAGGTTTAATAGAGGAGTCCTATCCAGGGACACACACTCTGTAGTCTCTTGTTTTCTAAAACTTGGCCAGTTGTGGTCTTCTGTGTCTCTCACACTCTATTGTATGAGAAACCTTCTCTGGAGAGTTGAGGAATAGATTAGTATTCTCTCTATCCCCTGTTCCACTGTGTTCCATGAGCCTTAGGTGTCGAGGTTCCACTGCAGGTGTGTCACTTAGGGCTGGGTACCTCTCAGATGTATGTTCTTTGTGTGTGACCAGTTTTGGAACTCTAATAGTGGTATGGATGGGGGAGGGGGCCTAAATTTGATTAAGATCTTTTATATGAAATGCACAAAATGCAATAAAAATCATTTAAAAAGAGTTGAGATTCTAATCCAGGTTGTCCCCTGTGCTCTTGTTTCTTTAGGAGCTGATTGTGAGCACAAACATACATCTCTCAAGAAAAAGGACAGAAAATTTCAACTGAAGAACTACTCTACCCCGTTTTCTTGGTGAATGAGAAGTTAACAGAAGTAGGTAGGTATCAGCTGAAATTTGGAGGTAGAGAGTGGCATAACCTTGAATATGAGAGCCCCAAAGGAGGCACAGTTTTTACATGTGGTGAGAGGAGACATGGGCTGGAGAAGGTGCTGCCTGCCTGGAGCTGAGTTAGAGCCAGCACCTCTACTGAAAGACTGAAGAAAGCAGAATGATTTGAGAGATTACACAGAGCTCCAGTGGAAAGTGGAAAAGTTCTGTGCATACATACATTGCTGGTGGGGATGGCTGAAGAACCATGCGAATATATATTTTATACCTATTTTACCATCATAAAAAGTAAGATAGTGAAGGGAGGAAATAATAGGTATTACCAGTTACAAACCTTTTCCATTGCAATACAGGCACTTAGTAAATATTTGAATGAGTGCTAGGGATTTTGCTAAGTGCTTTATATAAGCATTGTTTTCATTTCATCCTTACTTTCAGGGATGAGGTCAGCCCTGCTGCACAGATGAGGGGTCTTGGATTTAAAGAGATTAGCCCAAGGTCACACATCCAGAAAGTGGCAGAAGCTAGAGCAGCCAGATCCTCTTGCCCCAGGGAGCTGAAAAAACAGAAGTTTCTAGAAGCTGTTGGGGGAAGGGGAGGGAGGCAATTGTTGATGGAGGTAGGAAGGGTACATGATGAGAGAAAAGTAGTGGGGTTTGGGGGAAGTGATGAGATGACATGGATCAAAGTGTGATAGAAGGGTATGGCCTCCAGTGTCTGGACTCATACATCTGTAATAGAACTGGTAGAGGGTCCAGGAGGGGCTGGAGTTTATAAAGAGGCACGAGGGCTCAGTGTGTGGGGAGTCTGTGTTGTCTGTAGATACTTACTAGATTGGGACCTGTGGCTGAAGGGGCTGGATCTGAGACAGTGCTGAGCAGCTCAACCTACCCCCTTTCTCATCTACCTCCTGAGTGTTCCTGTCTCCTGCCTGAGGGGGTTATCCACTGAGTTTGCAGCCAGGAACCCCCGACTGGATGGAGATGCCTGGGTACAGGGAGGAGGAGGCTTGACTATTTGTCTGACTCAAAGCCCACCCGTGAGGTCAGATCAAGGCCGACCACCCTGCTTTTAGATAGCAAGCAAACTGAGACATCTTGTTACATACATATTTTCTTTATTTTTGGAAGAATGGTATGAAACAATTCTATTAGGAAATGGATGGTACAGGCTCCAGTGAACATTTTTGAGGTACTAAGGCATGTCCAGGATCCAGTGGTAACCCACAGTATTTGCAACCCCTGTGGTGTAGTGTAGATGCACTTCTGTCTCAGACATTTGGATTTAGTGAGGTGTTTGTGATGAGATCTAAGGTGTTTATGAGGGACATACTCTCCTGAGAGTTCCTGTTACCATTTCTTTCACGTGTTTACTTTGGATCCAGCAGGATTCTTTTATCCTCCTTCTGGTGGTTTTAAATTCTGTGCTCTGAGGCATGCTGTCTGAGGAATACTTTCTGTGAAATGGTGGTGACTGTAGAAAGTGAAGGGTGTGATTATATAATCATTTTGAATAAATAAAAGGATGGCTCATGGCAGGTCCTGTGAGGGCAGCTTGGAAATGAACTGTATCATTAGGGATTAAGTTGCACTGCAGTTGGATTTTGCAGCTGTCAGACTCTCTGCAGTACAGTATGTCAGCTGAAACCTCCAGGTGTAAATAGACCTACATCAGCATCATTGAAAAGTGCTGTGAGGAACCAGAGCTCAATGGGATGCTGTCCATCAAAAAGTCATTTGCAGGACCTTATTTCTGGTTATGATGCCTTATCCCCACTGTCTGGCAAGATACATAGAGTTTTACAGCAAGGAGACGTAGAGGGCATATGTACTTACTTGGGTCACATTTTCATCAATAATTTGTCTCCTTTTCTGCCTGTTTTTCACTACCTAAGACACATTTACAGCCAGGTAAAATCCGCCTTTAAAATAGGACTAAGAAAACAATAACTAAAGTAGCCCTTCATTTTGGAAAATAATAGTGGCTACTTTAGAGTCTGGGGGTATGTAATGCAGTGGTAAAATGCTTAACTAGCACGGGCAAGGCTTTGGTTTGATTCTAGCCCTGGGTCGGGCGTGTGGGGGCTAATATCATAATCCTTTGCCTTCTTGGAATTGCCTAATGGGCTGCTTGCGAATAGGACTTTTGTCTTCACCCCTATATTTCTCAGTCAAGAACATTTCTGGCATGTAGAATGAACTTAATGTAGATTAGGCATAGGGAGTTAATGTTGCCTGTCCTGTTCAAGGCCACACAATAACTGGATACCTTGAGAACAAGTAGATGAAGAAAGGAAGTACCAGAGGATAATGATTTCCCTTTAGAACCTCTTTACAGAAAACAGTACCGAGGGGCCTGGAGAGATGACTCAGTGGTTGAGAGAGCCTACTGCTTTTGCAGAGGACAGCACCCACATCAGGTGACTCATAGCCTCCTGTAATTCCAGCTCCAGGGGATCTGACACTCTTCTGGACTACTTGGACTCCTGCACTCTTGTATATATACCACCACCCCCATGTACATATAATTAAAAAATAATAAAAATAAATTTAAAAAGAAAATGATTCTTTGAAAAAATAGTATTTTTTTTCCCTGGGGCTGGAGAGATGGCTCAGTGGTTAAGAGCATTTGCTATTCTTACAGAGGCCTCAGGTTTGATTTTCAGCTCCAGGGGATCTGATGCTCTCTTCTGGCCTCTGAGGGTCCTGGATGAATGTGGTACACATACATATACTCAGGCATACACATGTACACAGAAAATCAATACGTAAATAAATATATTTTTTGGAAAGTTTCTTCCATCTATTAGTAAATCCTAATATTTATAATTTATTTTATTAAAATTGAGTATCATTTATATATTTTAAGTGTCACAAACATTAAATTAGAAAGAACTTACAACAATGCCTGTACTTTATAAGTAGTACTACATTCCCGTGTTTAAAAATGTGACTTTGGAGCTAGGGAGATAGCTTGGCAGTTAAGAGCACTGGATGCTTTTGCAGAGGACCCGAGTTCATTTCTTAGCAGCCACATAATGGTTAACAACTGTCTGTGTAACTTCAGTTCCAGGGGATCCCACATTGTCTTCTGACCTCCGAGGGCACTGCATGACATGGGTACACTTAACATACATGTAGGCAAAACACTCATACCTATAAAATAAAATTTTTAAATGTGAAAAAAAGGAAAAATTGTCTTAAAAATTTGCTGGCCTGGAACTCACGTATGTGCCTGCCTCTGCCTCGTGAGTACTGAGATTAAAGGTATGTGTCACCACACCCAGGTAAATGTCATTTATTTTTAAAGAATGTTTTATTACTTATTTTAATTTTGAGTTAAAGACAAAGAAATATATACTTTAATCTGTGAAAATGCCCTTTAGAGTAGGTCTGAATGAAAATAATTTAAAATATATAATAGGAAAGGTAAGAATGAAATATGATTTTAGGAGTAAGAATGTTGTTACTATCTAAATAGTATACAAATAGAAAACATTTTATGACCCAAACAACTATAATACATGAATTTAATTGAATTGACCATAGACCACCAAGGAGATTTAGGAACAAAAGTGTTACTATTTAGTCCAATAGGGTATTTTGTTTTGTTTTGTTTTAAGAGGTAAGATCTTGCTATGTTGGTTGCCCATGGTAGCCTTCAATTCCTGGTCTCAGGTGATCCAGCTGCCTCAGCTTCCAGAATAGTTGGGTCTGTTGGTATAAGCCATTGTGATTGGCTAGGCCAATAAGCTTCAAACATTCTTGACATTGCAATATCAGGAAAATAGTTTTTGCTCACACCTGCAATATCTGTATATGTATAGATTATAATCACATACTTGCTTAGTAGCAAGCTGTTTGCATTTAAGATACACAAAAATAGAAACAAAAGAATGAGGCAAGTAAATACAATTAGAAATTATAATATTTCCTTCCCATACCCTTGGAGATCACCTCCCATCCTCTACTTTGGAGACACCTGGTTTAGAATGACAGTAATCTAGAAGAAAAAGCACAGGGCAATTTTTGAAGGAGAGTTTGCTAGTTTCTGGAGTGGTATGTGGATAAGAAGTTGACAGAGGTATACTGTCAAACAGATTGAGAGTAGGCTGGGTGGGGAGTCAACCAGAAAGCTGGGGTTAAAACTCCCTTGCCATCTGTCTGAGAATATTGTTGAGGTGTCATGAACCAAACTCCCAAGGATTAAAGTTGTCCCAATTAGAATAGTGACATTAATTCCTCAAAGCTGGTAATGTTGGATGCTGGAATATAGAATACAGTTCACATACTGTATGCAGAATTGCTTTTGGTGTGAGAGGTCTTTCAGCTCTGAATAGATTTGAATAGAATCAAGAAGCCGAGTCGGGCTACAGAGATGGCTCAGTGGTTAAGAGCACTCTCTGTTCTTCCAGAGGACCCAAGTTTGATTCCCAGCACCCACATAGAGGCTAACAACTGTCCGTAACTCCACTTCCAGGGGATCCAATGCAGGTGTCCTTACACACATGCAGGTGATAGACTCATACACATAAAATAAAAACAATAAATAAAATACTAAAAAAAAGCCAAGTCGACCATTGGAAAGTAGACATAAGATCAAACTGCTGGACTCAACCTTGGTAAGTTTTGAGTGGATAGAGGTTGAGAACTCTGAAGAGGCAAGAGCCCAGCTGGAGGGGGTGCCTAGTCTCTTGTGACATGTTTGCTGGCCAATTAATCAGAGTCTCCTGCAACAGACATTTTCTGAGACTGAAATCCTTTGTTTCTGGATTCAAAAGATCACATGACTAGAGACATCAAGGTAAACCATCTTCTGTGATGTGGGGAAAATTCTACAGCAGGACTTCAAGGCAGTATCAGCCTTGCAGCACCAGGAACCACCTTAGAACATGTGGTCTCAATGTGGGTTGGTTTGGGTTGATGGCTGGTTGGTTGATTGTCTGTGCCTTGCTATTTGGGATTGGGTATAACTACAATAGTAAGTGA